CCGGGCAGTCCTGGGCGGCCTCTCGCAGACGGACTCCCGTGACTACAGCTTGGTGACAGCCAGCTGTGGCTTTGGCAAAGATTTCCGCAAGGGCATCCTCAAGAAAGGCATGTGCTACGGGGATGACGCCTGCTTCGTGGCCCGGCACCGGTCGGCAGATGTGCTGGGTAAGTGCTGGCGGGGCCCTGCTCCGGGTGCTGAGGTGATTTCGGCCTCCTGACCTCCCCTCCTTGAGCCGCACATGGCGAAGCGGCTCGGGCTTCGGTCACAGACAAAGGAGCCGGTTCCGCCTGTAAATGTCAGCGCGAGTTCTTGTTTTATTTTTTAGTTTTAAAAGAAAACGGTCATGCTCTTTGCTGCAGCACGACGCCCACCTCACTCAGCCTGCCTTTGGGATGGGGTGGTGTGGGTGCCGGGTGTCTGGGCCCAGCCTTAGCGTTCCACCTGTAAGGCCTAGTGGCTCCGAACGCCGCCGAAACAACTTGCAGTGCATTACCCTTTCTGAGTGCCTTGAAAACCTAACTGAGCCCCATGTCTATGTATTGCATTTCTGCCTAAAGGATCGTTGAAACGGGCACTTCCTGATTTTAGTGCGTGCCGTGTCCTTGTCAAGTGAAAGGCAAAGTGACATTGAGACTGGTTTCAAATGTCAAACTTCAATTTCAGTGTTTGTGCTATCCTGATTGCGCTCTGTGGTTTGGCTTCTCATGCAAAATGAATCTTAAGGGGTCAAATTTTAGAAGTAGTGAGTAATTCCAGATAATCAGTGGAATCTTCACTTTATTAGCAGCATTGCTTTTGACAGTGCTTGACCTTTCTCCTGTGTAGTCAAGGTTGAATTTGGCTAACTGGTGCTCTGTAAAAGTTAGTTTTTGAGCAACTGACAGAAATAATTTTCACCAAAACTTTGACAGAGGAAAAAAAAGCTTCCTCCCCTCTGCCCCCTTTTTTTTTTTGTGGGGTGTTTTTTTTTTTTTTTTTTTTTTTTTTTTTAATTTAAAACTAGTGGGATTGCACTGCAGTGTCTTGTGATGTGACGGTGCTTGGTGCTTCTTCACAATTTGGTGCTGTCATTGTAACTTGGTTGCCGTTTAATATAGCTGAGACTTTTTTTTCAGGAAGCTGTAACGTGGTGCTAGGTAACAGTTTTGCTGATTATCCTCAAGGGAGCTGTCACTCTAAGGGTGATGCTGCAGCTTTCAAGCAGATGTGGAAAACTGGTCGATGCATTGTGGATACTCTGCGTCTTTTCTGTTGTGCCTGTTCCAGAGAAACTTTTTTCTATTAGAATTAGCTGTTGGACAACCTTCCTTTTAACATGTGACTAAGGCTGGCTGCCTTTAAAGTTCATGCTAGGCCAGCACTGATAAATAACTGAGCAATCGGTATTTGCCCGTAAGAGAAATGCAGAATCTGCTTTGCTTAGGTGGACTCTTTGCATGGAGAAGCGGGTGGATTTAGACCCATTTGATGATGTTTAGGGTTTTTTGGCCATATTTGGTAATTACTATATGTGGACCTACAGCTTGCCTTGCCTTCCTGCTGGAATCAACAGAGAATTGCCTTTCTAAGTTGGTCTTCGCATGAATTTTCATGGCAACTTGAAAACAAACAGAATTGTAACTCCACTTGAGGATCAAACAGCAAAAGCGGCATCAGACCAGGATATCTGAAATACCAAGGAGAAAATAATTTAAATAGAAGTTGGTGGTGGTTCCCCTCCCCCCCCAAAGCTGTTTTCATGTTAGTTCCTTATTGCTTTTCTAATACACATACCAGAAAATCAAGATCTCTGTACACTCTGCAAACAGTAGCGCTCAGGATGGATTTTGATGCTGTCTAACTTGATGCTTTTTCTTCATCTGCTTAGGGACAGGGTTTAGTGGTGGGATGGCAGTGTTAGGTTAATGGTTGGACTTGATGATCTTAAAGGTCTTTTCCAACCTAAACAATTCTGTGATTCATCTATGTCTCTCTAGTTTACAAACATAGTAGTTTTCTCCTTGTTTCTGCTACTACAGTCATCTCTCTGGTCTCCCTTTCTCAACCAGTTCTTCTACACTGCTGCAAAAAGAGTTTCAGCACCCGTGTTTTCCTGCCCTCAACTCCTCTTACTTTCATCACAAATCTGAGGTTCTGTATCTATGTTTTAAAGCCCCTCATAAATTTTTTACTAACTCAATACCTGCCTAGCTCTGCACCTCAACAAAACAGGCTGAGCTGAACTTTTCAAGCTGCTTTTCAAGCTTCATTTTTCAGTGTTAGTTTAATGAAGAGACTTGTGTGGTTTTAGCCAAAGTGAACACTAGACGCAGTAAGAGTGCTTTTAGAGAACAGTAAATTTTAAGTGTATCACTTGTTAGTCTGCCCTAGTAGTCATCAGTGACAAAGCCGTGCCAGATAATTAATTTAAAATACTTCCGTGCCAGTCTCTTCTAGAACCAATATATGGGAAGCAGGCCTGTGTGGGATGGGTATGGGTGTGGTGTAACAGTGAAAGAGCTACTCCCAGCCGCTTGGCAGGAGCGCTCGGGGATTCATTTTCTTAGGTCAAACAAAAGTTGACTAGGCAGTGTGTTTATAGCAGACAGAAAGATGCTAAACACTTCTTTTGTTGTATGTATACTATGTAGTCTTAAGACTGAAAATTTATCAGTGTCTTCTAGTCTGTGCTTTGTCCTTTCATAGTAAGATCAACAGAAAGCTTATGAAGGTTCATGATGAAGATATGTTATTTCCAACCCTCCCATAGTTGTTAAAGGCTTAATAAGGTCTGTTACTGCTGTACTTGAATCCTTGAATGTTTTGTCTCTTACTTCTCTCTGGTATGTACCTGTTAAATGTGCATGTTTTCTTCCCATTCTGAGCACAGGGAGAAGGAAGAACTCAAAACCAGAGTGTTTCCTTTGGGATCAGTCTGAGAAAAGGAAATGGTTTTACTACTAATACAAATCTCTAGAGCTTTATGATTCAGGCCCATGTTTCCTTTTTGCTGCTGCTTGTACCATATTCTACCATTTTGTATGTTCACTGTCAGTGTCTTGGTTGTCCAGATCCTCAGAATATTCAGATTTCTTCTTGAGACTTGGTAGACGTTTACATACCTCTTCCCTCATGTCTTTGTAACTGAGAAGGGCAGAAATTGTGTTTTTTAAAGCTGAAAGTGAAAACTTCTCAGAAACTGACACCTTTGGTTCTTTCAAATTAGCATAGGAGTAGAATTTTTAGTGCATAGGAAGCAAAACACAAATTTGAAGATTGAACTTAAACATTTTATATAAACATTTCACTTATTTAACAAAACTAAACATTGAAGCTTGTTTATGAATTTTGAAGAGTCTCATGTTGGGGGTCATTTTCTCTTTTGTTGGGATCTGCCTTGTCTTATTCCTGCCTTATCAGGCTCCTGATGGCTTTGCTAGTTTTTTTAATGGATTTTCCAAGCTGTTGTGTGACTCATTATTGAAACATTAGAGCAACCAATGTGCATCCCGTGACAGCATCACTTATACAATGTCTGTGCTGGGTAGAAGTTTGGGTGTAGCCAGTGTGACTTGACTAGTCTTCCAAACTATTTCTGTCTCCCAGCAGTGGTAGGAAAAAACTGTCTGGCAGCAGGGTACTGTTTGTCCACCGTAAAGTTAAAATTTGGTAACTGTTCTAGCTGCTGCAAATCTTGATATTTTTTGGGGGGGGCGGGGGAGGTGGTGTGGTATTGTAGGGCAGCTACTCTAAACTGAAAGGAATTGCACTTTACTTGAAATTAAGTTTGTCAGCAGCCTGCATAGGAGGTAAGTAAAACTCTAGAGTGACCAAGCCCCTGGAATATTGTTAGTCTCACTGTCATCAAGAAAAGTAAACTACAAAACTTAAAAGGATTTGTAGATGAAATGTCAAGGTTGCTCTGGTAACTACAGAGGAGGAAGGGATTCTTTCTTTGATGCCTGAAGGTCATGTAAGACTACGTTAAGTGGTTTATTTGCTATCATACCTATTAAAGAGATTGCTGCCTTATCATAACTTGCCACACTACAGGAGGCAATTCGTCTTGCTTCAGAGTAGCCTTTCACCTACTTTATTGGGAGAACTCAGGACATCTTAGAGGGAGTAATCAGCAATCTGAAAAAAATTGTAGACGTGTCTTAGTTTGTAATAGACCAAATTAAATTTTCTTTTTAACATGGGAGCATAAGTACTCTCATTTGTAGAGAAACTAGATTGTTGAGAAACATCCCCCATTAACAACCATATTCACCGACATTCTTGTCAATACAGCTAATCCAAATGTCAGCAGAGCTGTTTTTAAGTAGCATTGAATGTAACCTCTTAGAAATGTGTTAGCTCTCTTTCTGAGAATGACGCTAAAATCTGGCTGTTACTCTTTACCACGGTTTCTGGAAGTGCATTGCACACAATGTATTCGGATCATAGTCTGCAACTGAACGCTTACTTTAAGTGCTATTGATACTTGTGGGTAGTAAACAATTTTCCATTCATATGTGGATCTTGGCTTGAAGGAAAGGTAGGTTCTGTCAGAAATCGTGGAAGGAAGTAAGCAAAGCTGAAGACAGTGCAGTAGGTGAGACACTTTATCATACCTGTGTCGCAGGAAATGTTGCAAAAAGCTTCCACTGCTTACTTTGGTTCATCCGCGCTATATAGTATTGTGAGCCCGAGGTTGTTCAGGCTGTAAGTAATTTCAGTACAGCTTGGCTGGTGTCTGTTCTACAGTGCCTATCCCTTTTCAGCATTTAAGCCCCAACCACCAGTAGCAGTTGGGCTACGAAAATAAGTTCCTGGGTTGCTCAACACCTTGAGAGATTAAGTAGCTATAACTATGTAGGGAAGTTTATACAAAACTTTCAGAGATAAATAATACTTTAGTCTTCTCCTGTAACTCCCAAAATCCACTGAGTGATTCCTCAGGCTTAAATAAAATTGGTAAGAGATCTACCTGGTAGAAAACTGCTTCAGGAACAGCAGTGTACTGTAGTGGGAGGGTGTGTAGGGGGGAAGATATAAGGAACTGCTGCTTTTTCCTGGAAGTAGATGTACAATTTAATGTTTTCAGTTCCTTATTTCTCCTTCAGTCTGTTCTTCAACATCATTCTCTCACTTTGCCTCTTGCTTTTTGTTCCTCATGATCACTTAGCCAGTTATTCTTCCAGTATCTTTCTATTGAATGCAAGGGAAGTTTAAGGTCTACTGTAAATTTTAAAATGTGTATTTCAAATACGTAACCTTTCCTTTTGTAACTAGTTATCAGTCACACACAATCTCCCTTCAGGGATGTGTATTTAACCAGGTTATTTCTTTTTCAAAACCTGGGGAGGGGGATTAGATGCTTTTTGCCTCTAACATTGTGATCCCATACACGCTGCCAGTGAAGCTGCTAGGAGAGTTAGTGCTGGCTTTGAGCATGTGACTTGCTTTGGATGGAGAAGCTATCCATTGCTGATAAAACAAGAAATCTTACCAGTTTATCTGATTCTGATATGTTGACAAATACTAGGTGCTGTGTTTCAAACTTGGGTAGTGCAACAGATCACGCTTCTACCATTTTAGCCTTTCTTCTGTAGCTGATGCAAAATAAGTTCAGCCACAAATATATCCTTTTGATGTTCCTTTATCAGTGATTCATTGCTAATTCAGGTAAGGATCTTAAGAAATTCAAAGTTCAATAGGATGTGTGGAGTGTCTTGCAAAGGTAATTGTGGTTGCATGCAAACTGACATGCTTGTGCTTGCCTGGTGCTTCTGTGTGTGATTATTATTCTTAGATGATGCAATATTTGAAAGTATCTATCTTTCAAGAGATTTTTTTGGACAGGATGAGACTTCTGGACTCTGACCATGGGCAGGTTGGTTTGCCAGCTAGCCAGAACTTCCACTCATAACACTTTATATTAAACAGGGTTGGATTAGTATCGTGGGTTTGCTCTGAACTTTAAGCCTGGTTAGTTTATATTTGCTCTGAGCTAGGTGGAACAGCTGGGTCTGACTTAGAAAAGTGTGTGGCAAAAAGCACACATTACTAGTCTCAGCACTGGCTGGCTCTTCCCTGGGCTCCTGCAGTTAAACCTGTGTGTTGGCAGTCAAAACAACTTTACGTTTGCATTCAAACTGGTATTTTATCCCAAGTGCTTTCAGCATTTTGAAATAAATTTTGACAAGCTTCAGTGCCGGTGTCTTTGCTCAGTTTCAGTGCTGCAGCATCAGTCACTTGTGCTCTGTCTTGAAGCTTCGTTGCAACTGTCTCCCTGAGAGATCGTGATACGCTGAATCTTTAGGAAGTTAGAGCCAGTTTTTCGACTGACACATGCAACGAGTATTTAATCTGGCAGTAGTGTTTGTGTATTTTCCAGCAGAAGGCAACGTAGGGGAGTGTTAACTCTGAAAGATTCTGAAAAGTCTCCATGATATAGTTAAATACTTGAGAAGTGTTTATTCTTTTCAAGGAATTTATTGTAAAATTTTCAATTGCTTTACTTACAGGGCTTGTTCATGTAGCCACAGGCATTTCACTGTGTCACGTGGATGTTTGTGTAATTTCTGCGTAGGCTTGAACAGGGAATATCCAAATAAATATTCTTTCTATAACACTTTCTGATTTACTGAATTGCTTAGAAAAAATCAGGGATTGCGTACAGTTCAATTTCGGCAATTCCTCTCAGCTACACCGTTTGTTTTACGTGTTCTGTGATTCCTATTTTGTAAGACGTTTATTTTAATTTAAATGGTGGATACTGGAAGACCATATTTAATGTTTTATGGCGAAATGTAAGAAAATTAAAACCTGAGTAATCTTTTTCACTTGTTAAAACAGTAGTTATTTTGAATATTTACAGGTTTTTTTTGTCTTGGATGAAAACAAAGATCATCTAAATGAATAGAGCTTGGCATTAGTCCTCAGCAGTGATACTGTCAGTAGCTGTACCTTTGAATTTTCCTTTGGTGACAGAGGGAAAACATGCTATTACATAAAAACCAGTCCATTTTTATGAGTTGAGTTTTCAGTTCTTGCTGCTTCTGGAGTTTCAAATATCTCACAAATAGTTTTGCTCCTTGTTTGCTGTATATCAAATCACAAAGTTTGCTTAAACTTTGTTCTCATTTACATATATCAAATCACAATTTACTTCTCATCAATTTCAGTAGCAGTTTATTCAATCTGTTTTAAAATCTCATATTCCTTTCCCATAAAACTGTGTAGTTTGTGTTGAGAATGTAGAATGTAAAAGATACTGGTTTTATTTTAAAACCATGCAGAAGGTAGGATGGGATGACTAAAGACCTTAGGGAGCGTAAAAAATCTCCTTTTAAGGCAAAAGCAATAAAAGTGGATGTTTTCTTGGTGACACTGTGTGGTGCAGGGCTGCTTGAATGGGCTTTGCCTATGTACTGCCATTGATCTCGACGGCAGCAGTAGTTCCTGGCCCTGTGCCGAGCAGGAGGAAGCATTTGACTGCTCTGGCAGTGTTTGCCAGCCATGCTTTGGGAGCCAACAAGGTCATTTAGCTTAAATTAAATGGACTGACCTATCATCTTTAAGAGGTAGAGTTTAAAAAGAGAAAGGGGGGGGAAACCCCAACAAACCTTTGCAAAAAACCCAGCATTGTCCATTTTGGGCAAGGACAAGAAATAATTGCCAGTGGTGATACACGAGTTCGTGAGCTGATGAGGTGGTGTGGAGGTGAAAGCATGCTCCGGGGCCCGCTCCTGAATGCGATGGTCCCGTTTGCTTCTGAGCCAGCGATGGAGGAGGAATGCGCAACTGTCTTGTCGATTCTTAAGCAGACAATCTGTTCTCTTAAGTATGGTGCAAAGCTAAGTCAGAGGACCTACTTGTGGACTGTCTGATGGTTTTGGAAGGCACTGGCAGAATGTACTTAAAGCTCTTTATAGCTTGCAAAAAGCAGACAGGAAGGCAGACAGACAAAGCCGTTACGTGGCTCAGGAGAGAGTATGAACCATGCTGCCATGATTACGGATTCAGATTTCCTGCGTCAAGTAAGAAATGAGCAAAGAAAATCAGGTGGCATGCTCTTATTTTTGCTTTAAAGATTGAAATAGATTTTGATAATTAACCGTATCAGGTGCTTGCTATGATGGCTTTCTTGTACTGTTTACTAATGCTGTAGTGGTTTTGTCTCCCAAGATGACCGACGCAGAAATGATTGCTGATCACTTGAGGCATCTCCGTAACTTCTGATGAGCTTGTTTTGTTAAGCTCCTTAGGGGCCAAAAGCTTGGGACAGTACTGTCAGCCATCATCTTTTTAGTGCCTTAACCCTGTTGGCAGTGCAGCAATGCTAGCAAAAATACATCTGTTCATCTTAAAGGGGAAAAAGCCGCTCATGCGGTAACTTCATGTAAAGGAAGCATCATCCTCCAAACTGAAGCTTAGTTTCTATTTCAAGTTCTAGATCTAGAACTTTTTCTTAATAATCTCTTATTCTGGACTTGTCTACATGGCAGCAGAAAGCAAAGGTTTAATCCGGCATTAACCTGAAGGTGTGGGACCTGTAAAGAGAGGATTAGTTGTTCCTGAAGAAACCAGAAAAGGCATTTTGGAGAATGCCAGGGTTGCTTGTGCCTGAGCTTCTGCCCAGGGTCTGGTCTGAAGGGGTGAGTACAGGGATCTGCCTTCCTATAGTGTTCTTCTAAGGAAGCAAACAGACAAAGCAGGTGTCTAAAAGGTTGTGCACTATTTTTGGGAGAAATCTGATTAATGTTGATAGGCTGTTCAGAATCTAGCTATAACCTCCTGTCAGATTATAGTTCGTGCCAAGGTCGGCTCTAAACCTTCCGTCTCAGTTTCAGATGGTGTCCCATGTGAAGGGCATTTGTAGATGAGGCAAACTTAGTTTTACCTTCTCAGTCACTTTTTCATGCCTTAGCTAATAGTGGTGGTTTTTTTCCAAGGAGGCTGCTGTTCCTCAGCACAATCAGAGCTCTGAAATTGGCTCTCCCTGCTTTTATCATGAATGTAGTATTTTAGCTTTATTATGTTACAGAAGCCTGTGCTTGAAATGTGCCTTACATGCTGAGGATCAAAAAGAGATTTTGGAAAAATGTCCATGTAGAAATATTTCTATCTCATAAATAATACCTTCAAACAGTCTTTTATTGTTAAAGCCACTTGAGGAGATTGAAAATATTTTAGCCAAACAGGCAGCAGAATATCATACCTGTGCTTATCTCCCTCTGACCACCCCTCTTTTCTATGTGCATCTTTGCTATTTGGGAATCTTCTGAGAAACCACAGAGTCGAGCTTTGGCAGAATTGGTCTAATTTTCTGCCATCTAGGTTGTTTTGAATAACTGAATGAAAATGGACTGGGTCATGGTCAGTTGTCATTCTCTTGCTTGGCTGAAGCTGTAAGCAACAAACCATCCTTGCAGGGGTAGGTCCCAGCACCATGTTGGTTTCATGGTTTTTTGAACACACTGTGAAAATGGAAGTTAAGTTCCTACAGAAATTGGTATCGCCAAGTAGAAAGCAATATGCTTCATATGAGCAAATAGCGTGAGAAAAAACTTTGGGCTGCTGAATTGCGGGGAAGAGTTTCTTTGTTATTTCTGTCCTATTTAAAATCTTAACAACCTTCATATTTAAAACTGATAAAAAGTCTTCTTCCTTTTTAATGGGGTAATCAAAGGTTAATGTGATTGAATCCTCCTCCCTCGCCCCAAATTTCCCATTAGTTGTTCTCTAGTGAAGTCAGCCTCCTCACAGAGTTCTCAGCATTAGGCTTTTACCTTCTCTTCAGCAGTTCAGATTATATTTAGTGATTTGTCTAGGAGCAAATGTCAGAAGTTACCTTAAATACTTAGTTTTTTCTTAATCAAAAATGTTTTGCAAGCAGGGGATATAGCCTACTTTTTAGTTACTGAGGATCATAAGTGATGTCAAAAATTTAAAACCTTGCTTTGGAAACAGATTCTGTTCATATAACACTTATTTTCTGTTTTCTTCTAGGGGTAGCAGATGGTGTAGGTGGCTGGAGAGACTATGGGGTTGACCCTTCTCAGTTCTCAGGGACTCTAATGCGAACATGTGAACGTTTAGTAAAAGAAGGACGGTTTGTACCAAGTAATCCTGTTGGGATTCTCACCGCAGGTTATTGTGAGCTGCTGCAGAACAAAGTACCTTTGCTTGGTAAGAGAGCAAAAATACATAAGTTGGATCTGTGCTGTATGTTATCTAGATGTATATTTTGACAAGGTTGCTTAAATCTCTTGTCAGCTCCTACAACAAATTTGCAGGCAGTTGTCTTCTAATTAACCAAAACTCATAGAAATGTAGTTGTCTTGGTAGCATCCTTACTTTTTGTATGTTTAAAACCTCTTGATTTATTCAGTAATGCAGGCAATATGCGTGTGTATGTGTGTACATAAGAAAAATAAGGCCTAGCTGCTGTTGTGTGTGAAGGGTGGCAATTCACCAGTGCTTGCAGAGAGTTTGCAAAACGAGTTCAGCAGTAGAATGTGCTGTGGCATGTGCACTCGTTCGCTCTGTTGCCTATGTATAAATAACTGTTCTCTGTTGAAAACTCTTAATGGTTGGTTGTGGCTTTTTGCTTAAGCTATGCAAAACCAAATATTTTCTGATGATAATGGGATGCAATTCTGCTCATTCCTTGCCTTACTGCTCCTCTTGGCTTTATGTCCAATGAACTTTAAACCTGATTGGTTGACTTAAGTAGTTTATATCGTACAGTCGCTGGTACCATTTTTTTTTTTTTTTAATAATTCTTTGTGGGGGAATTCAGTACAGATTTTTTTTGAAAGCAAACTAAAGTAGATGCTTAGCATTTTCTGTGTCAAAGTTGATTTTAGACAGGGCATCCAGCTGCCTTGGGAATGGTGAGCGGATAGAAAGGCTACATTTGGCCTCAGCTGACAACCTTGAAAACAGAATACTCTTCTAAAAGGGCATGTGACCTCTTATGCACCAAGAAAGTGTTACCCTGCATGATACGCATGCTTCTCACCTGACCTTAAACTTCTGTGCCAGAAGAGTGCTGTGTAAGCTATATTTAACTGGTCTGCTGAGCTTCGGAACAGATGTTCTCGCATTATATGCCTAAAGAATAGGTTTGAACCTCAGAAGTGACCTTAAGTATCACTAAAATAGCGGTGGTTGGTAACTACGTTTGGATTTTGTGTGTTTAATAGTGCTTATTTGGGCAAAGCAGATGTAGCTGTAAGTGGTCTACAAAATGGGCCACTGGTGAGAGCTCTGACAACGGCTTTGTAGACGGAGGCAGCCCTGCTTGGCTTGACCTTTCGGATTCTGAAAAGCGGCATATGCTGAGTCACAAGATCTGCATTCCACACATGGCCTCCTAGTTACACTCTGCTAATGGAGTTAGAATTTGAAACTAACGATCGTTAGTGTTTCTCCTTTAACAGAGAACAGTATTTTTAGAAGTAGAAATAAAACCCTGGAATTACCACAGCACTGAGCATTTACAGTTTATTTAAAATAAAGTGAAGGGAGAGGACTTCATTAAGGAGGATTCATTAGGCATTAACTTTGCCTTGCTGTTGTGCTTTAAGTCTTGATACTTAGTTGATCAGAATAGAATCTAGCAAATATTTTAAAGTAAAACTGAAATGGGAGGAAACTGTGCCATTTATGTAAACATTACTCTTGTATTGCAGAACAGTCTTGGGTGCTGTCACATAGAAAATCTGATTTCATTTTTTTTTCCCCTAAGATAACGTTTTGACTTACCGTTCGCTAAGAGTGGAGAAGGTCCTCTGTGCCTTCACTAGAGAACAAATGAAGTGCAAGTGTATTGCAGGGAACTCCCTGTAGTAGAAAGGGAAACATCTGGAAGAGGTGATGCCTAGAGCCAGCTGGACTTGTGCACTAACAAGCCTGATTGTAAATTTAGCTCATTGCAAGCTTGTGGTCTGTCCAACATATAGCTGTGCTTGGAAGCTTCTGCTGAAAGAAGATTAGGATAGAAGATGAAGGCTGTTCACCAGCTGGTGACAGGGGAACTTATGTTAGAGGCAGAACACAAGAAGAAATGCTCTAGCTGTTTTTCACCCTCTTCAGGCATGGAAGTTCCTTCGGCGCATGTGCTGTCCTCTTTGCAGAGATGAAGTGATCGCTGTTTGCTGTGAAGGGCTTAGTCTGTGGATGGGGTCTTTGCAATGCAGTTATTGTTGTGGCTTGCAACCAAGCACAGTTGGTGGCTACTGCCCAGTGAATGGATCAAGAATTCCTCAGTGCCCTCAAGCATGGCTGGGATAGTTCTGAGCACGATTGACAAGTAGATTTGTTTCCGTTCTGTCTGACCTTAATCTGGAATAGTATTTGTCTCTGAAACATGTTTTCTTTAAACTTGTCAAGGTAGTATCCTGAAGATGTGACAGAATTATTATTTTTCAAACATGAAGATAGCTCTACAGAGCCATACTATGAAGAAAAGCATTTTAATGTTCCGACAAGAGCAATAGAACAATACCTAATACTTAATTGCAAGCAGTTCTTTACTTGGTGTGGTTTATTTACAGCTGATGAGTGAAACTGTGTGGAGAGCACCTAGCATTGTGTGGATGCTACTAGAATTCTATTATCTCAATGATTTCGGAATTTCAGTATTTTATGTGACTTCTGTAAATCCAGTCCTATAGCAGAATGTGCTGACATATGTTGGGATGGAAAACTGTAAATAAAGTGGAACAAAACAGGTATTTGTCAGCATAATGTGTTTACCAAAATCAAAGCAGGAAAAGCGAGTCCTCTACAAAAATCATAGTTTGTCTTGTAAAGGTTTCTAGCATTTTGCTATTGTTAGTGTATGTTAATTTTGACATTGAGTGTTTCCATTTATTCTGATTTGTATGCTTTGATAAATATTTGAATATTGGAATAATTAATAATAATAATTAAAAATAAACAATTGGGATAAGTAATAATAAACAATTAACAATAAGCAATTTCTGTAAGGCTAACTCCAGTTACTGTATTCTGTTTCCAGGAAGCAGTACAGCTTGTATAGTAGTTCTGGACAGAACAAGTCATCGCCTACATACAGCCAACTTGGGCGACTCTGGGTTTTTGGTAGTCAGAGGAGGAGAGGTAGTACATCGCTCTGACGAGCAGCAGCATTACTTCAACACTCCGTTCCAACTGTCAATAGCTCCACCAGAAGCAGAAGGAGTTGTCTTAAGTGACAGGTAAGAGGGGAGAGGATGTTACATTTTTAATCTGTGTATGTGATCAACTCCCCAAAGGCTGCAGTTTTGCTGCTGCGGTGCCCTTTGGTGCAGCATAGCTCGTGGGACTTAAACGTGTGTCTGCTCAAAGGGTGTTATACCTGCCTCCCCCGTCGTCTGTAGGTAACGTGGACATTTCTCACCTTGTACTTAACAAACTTGTATGCTGTTGCACAGTCTGAATTTACTGAGCTGATTATTCATTCATGGTGGCTTATTCCCATAGTCTGTGGTGTGCACTAGGCATGTTCTGATCCATGGAACAATGTTGCTCAATAAAGCTGCAGTACTAAGACTGCAGCTGGTGTATGCACCGGGCATCCTGCGTGAGTGGCTCGTCTTACCCAGTAGCTTTCGTTCCCAGTCCCTGTCTGTACTCTCTTGAGGCTGGTTTGGAGTACGCTAATTTAGATATCTTGGCAGTGAGGTAGCAAGGACTTGAAGAATAGAGCAGAGGGACATGTGACTAACTTGTATTTCCAAATAGCTCTGTTTCCCGCAGCATATTGTATTTGACCAAGACGAGCGAAAAAACTGTTTGGCGGAACACCAAGCTGGGAAATGAGAGTATGAGGAAAGGACAATCTGCTCACAGAAATGAGTTGTTTCAAAGGCAGACTTGTACTTGTGTCTTCCCCTAAGAATGTCAGGCTGATCCTTCCTCTGACTTCGTGAAGTCTCACCAGTAATAAAAAATAAAAAATAAAATAAAAAAAAATAAATCAGCTTTCAAATATGTCTTAAAGTACAGCTTTCAAATTCATGGTGATACACTTATTATAGTGATATCCCTCTCCTGAATGCAGGAAGGTGATAAAGGGATCTTCAAAGAGTGACCACAGCATACAGGGAGTGCAGTAGGCATCTTAAATTTTTGATACAAGGTTTGGACTTGGTGATCTTCAGGGTCTTTTCCGACCTAAAGGATTCTATGAAATACCAAGGCAGATGCAGTAAGGGTTATGACTTTAGTGTGGGTTAGGTTATTGAAACTGCTGCCCATTCGTGCACGTGATTTTATTACTTCATCATAAGTGGAGAGAGGAAGCTGGGGTAGAACTCTGAAATTAGAACCCTAATCTCTAACCTCTTTATCAGGCTAAAATTAAATGATTGATTGAAATTCCAGAGCTGTAACAATCTTAGTATTTCTGAGATCCTGTGTCATCCATGGGAAGGCAAAAACCAAAAAGCACAAGGATAATTGATAATGTCCAGTGGAAGTCAGGAAAGCAGTGACTCGAGAGTCATTGCGTAATAAGGAAAGCGCAAGATAAATGAGCTCCCACACTTCAGTTCTGAATCATGATTATAGCTTCCTGGCTAGCCTCTGCACTGTTCCTGACGCTAATTAGTACTCATGCATGTTGTCTAAATGCCTCTCCAGTACTCTTTTTTTTTTTCTATTTGTTGTCCCAGTTAAATGTTAAATTTAGCTATATATGGGAATAGGCAGGCAATCTTAACTCTGTTAACCTTCCTGACGCTACAAATCGATTGAGGAAAGCAGCTCTCCTGCTTTCTGGCATAACCAAACGGCTTGGGATGCAGCAGTTTCTCCCTTTTAAAGACCCCTGAAGCATCTTTAAAAATGAAGGGTTTGTCATTATGCTGCTTCTGAGAATCAGATTTTGCTGCAATATTCATGACCAAAATAGCTATTGTCTCCTCTTGCGTTGTGTGATGTATTAGACATGAGTAGACCTGCCAGCCGTGGCCTCCTGGTAGCAATTTCCAGCCATGTTTCATACTCCATTGCATTAGAAAGTGATTCAGAATCCTTAAGTGTTCTGGCCGTGCCTGTTATGAATTGTCCTTTCAAGTGTAGCTTTCTTGCCCATGGAAGATGAGTGAGAAGGAAGCCCCGAGCTGCCATTCTACTTAATGGTTTCCATGGAGATACACTTGGGAAGCGGATTAGTTTGCAGGATTGTTCATCTGGGAATTCTAAATGCAAATCCTTTGTGTAATAGCTGAAACATTACCTGTTTGCAATCACGGTTCTTCTGTTGGGGCTTCCTTGACAAGCCATCCTGGTGCAAAAGCTCCTCAGTTAGTGATTATTTCTTTCTTTTGCAGAAAAACAGGTAGCAGTAGTGAATTACAAAAGCTGTTGATGTGCTAGTTTGACGTTGCTTGGTGTCTTAGTGAAAGCTGGAGTCCTTTTCTTTAACGTGTCTGTCATCTTCGCAGCCCTGACGCTGCTGATAGTACTTCTTTTGATGTCCAACTCGGAGACATTATTTTGACTGCAACAGATGGACTGTTTGACAACATGCCTGACTACATGATTCTGCAGGAGTTAAAAAAGCTGAAGGTAAGCGCGTGTATTCGGAATCTCTGCTATCTGTTGCACTGGTTATCTTAGGTACTACCATGACTTTTCATGCACCTAACGTTTGTATTTTATAGAAAAGACCCACTGCGAAGTGCTAGCGTTTAGAGACCTTTCAGTTAATACCACGTGTGAGCAGTAGAAAGGGACGCTGGCCCCGAAGCGCCGGCTCTTGGATCGGCACTCAGGCTGAATCCAGAAGCTTGGGCACCGGTGATGGGAGGGAGAGGAGGAGGAGGTGTTGGGTAGCAGACACTGCCCCTGGCCAGCTGCTCACACGTTGTGTTCTATCTGTGCTTGCACGCTGTAGATTTATATACATGAAAATACAGCATTCTCTCATGGGTTATTTGAGGGGGTGAGTGATATGCTTGAAAATGATCTGAAGCTTTCCCGAAGGGTTATAAAGCGGTAATTCTATAGTATGGGCTGTCTGAATTCTGGGTTGCGTGTGCTGGAGTATCTTCAGTGTTCTGTAAAAAAAAAAAATTATTGACAACTTTCCCAGGTTAGTGACCACAAATGTTCTTTTTAAATAGTAAAAATACATTAAAACATTGTAATTTGGATGAGAACATGTAGCTTAAGGCTGTTTACTTACAGAAAGGTAAGTATACTTGGGAGATATCAATATGCATAACTCCCTGAGGCAGCTCTTTTGTTACGAAATGCAAATAAGGTTCACATGCAGAATTAGAGTGAGGTTTTAAAAAAATTTGGCCGTCTCTTATCCTGCAGCTACATAACTGAAAGGCAGTGTAAGAAAGAGAATGGGTCCTTACAGACAAAATGTCGGAGAGACCCCTGGACATCAGGCAGGCTCCTGTGTCCCCTCTCTCCGCAGTCCCCACTCTCCCCGGTGCAGCCTGCAGGTCTGAGGTGGAGCAGCTGGGCTGTGGAAGGGCAAGAGGCGAGCGCGAGCTGTGACAGAGGCTTCAGCTCGGTTAGCAGAGGTGATGACGGCGCTGAGGGTGTAAGGCGCTGTCACGGTTCGGAGGGGCCTGCCCGCTGACCTGCGTGGCTGTGCCCTACGCTCTAAGCCAGGTCAGGGCTCTGCCCGCTGCACGCCCACCTTGCTGCACACGCCTGAGGTCGGCCTGCGTGGCCGCGGGAGGTGGAATTCCCTTGTGGAAGAAAGTTGAGCTCCACCTTTAGGCGTGTTTGGGGAAGGCACTGAAGTTCCCCGGGAGGTTCAGCCAAAAGTTAATCACGTAAATGCCTGCTAATTCCCCAAACTGCGGGGGAGACTCTTGAAATGACAAGGCATTTTAAAATAGCTACAAACCAAAAGAGCAGTGGTTGTCGTGTCACGTTGGCTCGAGGAAGAAAAGTCTTGGAGTAAAGCAGCAGAATTACTGAAACGGGGGGGGGGAAAGATGCTTAAAATGCAGTCAGTATAAAGTTTGTGTGCGCGATAATTTTATTTTCCTTATCTGACTTCTCAAGTGCCCCTTCTCCCCAAGTGCGCTCTTGTCGATTTGGGTGCGAGGGTCAGAGAGGTGAGACTGTGCCAGTCGAGGTGAAGCCTAATGACCTCGGCGGAGCCCGCGCCGCGCGGGAGGGGAGGCTGTGCCAGCAAGAGCTGCTCCTGTGTGAGACCGGGCTGCCAAGCCTCTGAATTCTACACCTCCTCCAAAAGCAGGTCTTGTAGCTGCTGGCAAGGAGTAGAGGTCTGGGAGCTCAGGTGTGAGGATTTGCAATTCTAACCCAAATTTAAAAAGCTTAAAAGATGGTGAGGGCTCCACCTGGAAGAGAAGGTGATAACCAGCGCCCTCACCTGCGAGAGAGGGGCCGGGCAGTCAGGGGGCTGTAAAAGTGACGCGCATCGGCAATACGGCTGCGGGCTGACTTTCTTGTAAGAATAAACTTTTCCCCTCATCAATTTAGAACTCCAACTACGAGAGTATACAGCAGACTGCGCGAAGCATCGCTGAGCAAGCTCACGAGCTGGCGTATGATCCCACTTACATGTCACCGTTTGCACAGTTTGCGTGTGACAACGGATTGAATGTGAGAGGTGAGATGATTTCCCCCCCACATCCCCCTCCTCCCACTCTCTTTGAGAAGTCTTAAGCAAAGTGAGGTTCTGTTGTTCCAAAATCTGGTAGGAAAACGGGATGTTAAGAAATGGGGTTGGCAGTAGGGCGCCCAGCGCGCAGGCTGGGTTTGGCAAGGACCCCAGCTCCTGGCGTGGGTCAGCCCAGGCCCCGGCTGGTCAGAAGCCTCCTGTGGGGAAGCAGCTGGAATGCAGTGCACTGACTTTTTTTAATATTTTTTATTTTTTTATATTTTTTTCATATTTTTTATTTTTTTATATTTTTATTTTAAATTTAGTTTTATTTTTATAATTTTTAGTTTTATTTTTATAATTTTTAGTTTTATTTTTTATAATTTTTTGTTTTATTTTTAGTTTTATTTTTTATAATTTTTATTTTTTATATTTTTTAGTTTTTATAATTTTTAGTTTTATATTTATTTTTTAGTTTTATATTTTTCTTTACCTAATACGCACACGCCTGCCCCGGGAATCTTGCTTGATACAAGTTCTCCAGGCTCTTAGGGAAACTGTTCTTGACTTGTTCCTTGGGTTCGGGTGGGTGGGTGTGGTTTGGGTTTGGGGGTTTTTTTTGTTTGTTTGTTTTTCAAGGCCTTCCATTACTGATGCTTTTTAGTCAAGATTGTGCCCGCTCTTTGGTGCTGGGGGTTTTTTTTTTTGGTTCAAATTTCTGACCCTTGTACCACTAGCATCCCTGCCCTGATCTCTAGAAGGACACTTAACACCTGGCGGAGTTCAGAGTCCCGTCAAGCACCTTTTTTTGGTTGTTTGTTTTATTTTTTAATAAATAAATATCATTCTGCTAGTACAGATGTTCTCGTTACCTCTGTATCAGCAGGGCAGAATTCCCTGCAGGATCCTTAAGCGCCTTTCCTAAGGGCAGAGACCACGGAGCTCGGCCATTCCGTAGCAAAGCTGCAGAGCTGAGCCCAAAGAGCCGCTCTGGCTTGCTGCAGAGCAGAATAGCCCTTGGCTGAGCGGTTCCTCCGGGGGTGAGGGTCTTGCTCTCGCTGTTGAGGTTTGGAAAGCGACCACGAGAAATGTTGGGTAGCTTTTAGAAAGATATGTAGCAATACAGTGCGGGAGAGGATGCTAAAGAGGCGTTGGATTTACAGTCAATTCCTGAGAAGGTGCTTTTGCGTTGCGGCTTCCTTGGACCAAAGCCATGTCAGGGGGGTTGTACATTTACTGAGAAAAAAAAAAAAAAATCAAAAAACCAACAAACAAACCGCAACAACCAAACCCCCAAACCCACAAAACTAAATTGTCTGCTAGAAAAGGGGCTTTCTGCTCAGCCAGCGACAGCGTCCGAGGTGGTGTGCTCCGTTTAACAGTTTGTGCTCTCACTTAGAGCTTAAAAGGAGAGCGCCGCTTCGCTGCGTGAAGCGTCCTCGCTGCCCTCGGTTGCGCTTTGGAAAGGAGGTGGAGCAAGCGGGAGCTCTTGTGTCTGCACAAAGCAGTTTGTTGAATATTTAAGCTATTTCCAAAGAGCTCTCCGTGGGGGAACGTCGCAGGCTGTAAGAAGATGAAATAGTTTTATTTTCCTTACATTGCAGGGGGAAAACCAGATGACATCACCGTCCTTCTTTCTATTGTAGCTGAGTATACAGACTGATCTGCCCGGCGCGTCGGCTTCTGGCGCGGTCCTTGTCCCCGAGCTCCTCGCTTCACACGTACGGTTTCCTGCTGGCAGGATCGCTTTCTTCCTTCGCAGCTGATCTCAGCAGCCGGTTCTCGAGCGCGTTGCCTGTCTGGAGACGCAACCGAAGTCATTGCTAAGAACCGCTCGCGTAGTACACTGGTCTTTGTCTGCCGGCAAGAAATGAAGAAGCTCAAGGCTTGAAGCATGTCTTTCAGAGCTTAGTCGTTGCCCTTAAAAGGGGGAAGATCAATCCCACGTCCTTCCTGCGTTTGGAATTGTGACTTTCAGAGGAGTGGAGTTGGTTTATCATCTTTCAGACTAGATTCGATAGGAAAACCCACCCCAACGAGAGGGCACGTTACTCTATTTACTAGAAATGTTCTCTGTCCATCACAGGGTATGTCCCAGGCCACCGTTCCATCAGCCTAGTCTTGTTACAGTGATAGCTGAGGTTTCGTGTTTCCGAGCTCCGGTTTTCAGGAGGTTTAGAACTGCTGTAACCGTTCTGCTCTTGCCATACATGGTGTCAGCCTAGGAGCCTTTTCTAGTACGAAATTTCAAAACCCATACTTAGTTCTAAGTTAAATGGATGCAAATGTGTTTCGTGATTTCAGGTGCTTAACTGTGATCTTAAAAGTTCTGCAGATCATTCGTCCGTAATGGGCCCGGTATCTGGATGTTTTGGCTGTGGATAATTTTTATTTTATTTTATTTTTAAAAAAAAAAAAACCAAAAGTTTTAAGCAGTCTCAAAAAGCCGAGCTGGCCAAAGCTTGAGGTCCTTTCAGCGTTGTAACCCATCTCGCCAGCGCGGGATGATGCGGCATAAATGCTGGGGTGGGAGGGGTTGGACAAGGAACAGACCACCCTCAGCTCCGCGCGGCTTCCCTTTGGGCAGATAATTCTGTTGTGACCGAAACGTGATTTGTGTTCCCGATTGCCATTCTCGCCTGCGTAGAACAGACCACGCCGCGCCAGTTTAAGTCCAGTCAATCTTTACCTTTCCGACTCTCAAACGAGCACCTCTTCCTTACGCGGCGGCGGCGGCAGCAGCAAGTGCGTAAGTGGAAACTAATGATGAATAATCAGCAAATCTTACATTTCAGTAACTAAAGTTTAGGGGTTTCGGAATGAACCTTCATGATGTTTACAGTTCTCGAACAGCCACTTTGCAATATTACATTTCCTTTTGAATTACAGCAGCTCGCGTTTGCCCCCCCCCCCCGCCCCAGCAAGCTTTCCTTTCTCTTGCCCGAGGTTCACACAAAAAGCGGAGAGCTGTAAAGATATATATATTTTTGGTCAGTTTTTCATTAACTTTTTTGCTGGTAGAAAAGTACGTAGAAATAAATTAAAGCCATGTTTTTATATATAAAAAAAGTCGGGTAATGTTGCTGTTTAGGCGAGTGCAGTTAAACTTGGTCAGTAAGTAATCTTACCTGCTCTCGAAAGGAGATTTTTACTACCTGGTTTATTGTATTAAAACTGTTTAAGTTTGAGGTTACCTCAACTTGTTTAAAGAATTTTTGTGGACTTGTACTGTATATTTGCGTAACTACGTCAAGCTTTTATTTAAGATCATTTAACATGTACCATGTACATGTCATTTTACTGTATTTCAATGCATCATGCTTGTAACAGGCATTTCATTTATAATAAGTGATTAATTTGGAAGCTCGTTGGTAATTTATCTGCTATTCCTAAATTGGCATAATGTTAGCGATCGATTTTAAATCACCTTGTAATTACTTGTCAAAAATGCCTTAACTACCCTAACTTGACCAAAACACTCTTTTGGTGAGGGTATGGGGAGGATTATATTAATGAAGACAATTTAATGAGTTTTGCGATCCGTGGAGCAGTCGCGTGGTGGATGACTTTGCACAAATTGTCAGTCCTTGTCGTTGTGTAAAATTGAACAAGCTGCGCCTAGCGGTCTCGTTAGGAGGAATGTATCCCCGCTGCAGTACAGGGCTTTGCTTCTGGCGGGCGGGAGGGGCTTTCTCTCCCCAGCCCGCGTGTCTTTTACGTTTTATTCTCCAGTATTTACTATCGCGCGTCTCGATTAGAGCAGATTGGATCAATTCTTTCCCTTGAACTTCCCCTAAACCACTGCAGACCCGGACTGTGCTGCACTCTGGCCCCTGGCTCTCGGCACGCGGTGGGGTGAGACTCGGCCGCTCCGCAGCTGAACAGCGCTGCCAGGCGGGTGCCACGCCAAGCCTCACGCGCCCTGGTAAAGCCGAGCTTAGCTAAGCTGGGTCTGCAGGGCCGTTTGCCTCATATCACACCGTGATACTTTTTTTTTTTTTTAAAAACAAAGAACAAATTTGGATTTTAATTTACAAATCATGAGTTTATCCCTCGCCGGACACACCAAAGACCAGTAAAGCTTATAGCTTTTCCATCTGTTTATAAAGCAATACTGTATTATAAAGAATTGATATTTTTATCACATGCTTGATTGTTTTTGGTTTTTTGTTTTGGTTTTTTTGGAGGTTTTCTTTGGGTTTTTTGTTTTGTTTTGTTTTTTTTTTAAAAGATGTGCACTCTAAACATATCAAACCTAATTTCTTCCTATGAACTTAAGCTGTCTGCGCACAACAGATTTTTGGAAAAGGAAATGACAGGGCCCGTACTATGAAAATAACTTTAAACGATGCACGAAGCAGTAAGGCTTCCTAGGAATGAGATGATTGCGACCGTTTGCGAGAGGAGCGTGCGGGAAGGGAGTTCCGTGAGGTGGAGGCGTGGGCGAGCGGAGCGCGGGCTGGCCTGCCGCTGCTGCAGGGGGTGGGCGTTGGGTACCGGGGGCTGGAGGTTCGGGAGCAGGGATCTGGAGGAGGAGGAGGAGGAGGAGCTTTACGCACCGGTAACCACGGAACGGGGCTGGCGGGAGCTGGGGTTGCTGCAGCAGCGTTACTTGGTATTTGGGCAAAACAGGGCTAAGATGTGAATTGGAAAAACTCTGTGGTTCCTTGCTACTTTTCTGGCTATCTTTGGGAGACCTGCAACATACAGCTTCCCTCTAAATGTACTTTTTTTTTGTGTTCGTGAGGAAAGTATGGCCCAAAAAAAAAACCCCAAACCCAGATTTTGGGACCAGGCGGTTATGACTGAGGCGAGGAGGGGGGAGAGGTGAAGGTCGGGCAAAGATGTGAGGGATTTGGGGCTGCAATCTCCACCTCATGGTACCGGACGTCCTTTCTCGGGGGGGCGGGAAGGGGGGGGGGAACCCAGATTGTGTGTGTAGAGACTGACTGTATGGAGTAGTGTCTTACAAAGATAGCTGAGATGATGAAGCAAATCTGAGTCTGTATCTAATGAGGATGCTTTGTTGTTGTTGTTAAAATGAGACTATCATCTATGCTTACCTAAGAGGCAGTTATGTGAATTTCATGTCTGAGGTATAACTTATGCAGGAATAGTTCTGTAAATACATTTAAATGAATTGTAAAGATATTTAATAAATATAGTATTTATACTAAAAAGTGGGTTTTTTTTTTTTTTTAAAGGAAAGCTGACGGCACAACCTCTGTTTGTTCCTGCAGTGATGTCGCTGGTGGGGTGCCCAGCCACCGGGGGTGCTCTCGAACCCGCGTTTGCATCGGGAGGCGGGAAGAGGGAAAAGGGAAACGCGGGTCTGGAACCCGGGCGCCGCTCAAACTCACGCTTTCAAACACCGCTTTTATTTTTTCAAATGCGTTTCTGTGACAGCTCTGGCTAACCCTACACACGTTCTGTAACACCATCTCCTCTGCAGCCGGCGCGGCTGGGGTCATTTTCCCACCACTCGTAACTTGACAGCAGCAGCTTAATCTGCTGTGAAGTGGTAACACGGTTCGAGCTCTCCAGGGGGAACGTGCTGGAGAGCTGAACGTCTGCAGAATCTACACCTACAGAATAAATCATCCACAAACCTCAATCTACGCCATCGTGACCTATATTTATATTGCATTATGACAGCGTCTAACGGTTTTAGTGACCTGTGCTGGCAGCTAACAGAAACAGCAACTAAACACTTAACCTGCCCTGACACAGCAGGGAGCGATGAGGTACTCAGTACTGAGCTGAGTTTTGTCCTTTTATGTTTGCCTTGTGAAAAAAGGCGCCAGTGGGGTAGGGGTCCCGCTCCCAGGCTGTCCAACCGGGTGCTCGCAAGAGGCCCCCCCATGAGCTGAGAACACAAATGGTTTCCATCCAGTTCTAACTTGCTCAAGAACTGCAATTCAACTTCCTTCTCAAACTAGCGCAGCTCCACAGTTACCAGGTCAAACGTACCTTTACCTTCCCAGGGAATCCCCCAGGGCCTTGGACTCAGGTGCTCAGTGTTACTGGAGAAGCTGGGAGCTCTGCACGTTGCCAAAATCCTCTTCGGCATCGCTCGCTGTTGCTAAGCTCTGGAAGGTGGGAGCGATGGCATCCTTCTTACCAGAGACTGCTCCAAAAAATAAGGAATGAAACTGGAAAAATGCAATATTTATAGAAGTAAGAAACTCCGTGTGATACAGAATTTGGGGGTTAATTATTTCTGAAGCTTTTGCCGCTTTAAAAGCCCACTTTAAAATCTTTATCAGTCTACAGTGTTTCCTAGGAAAACAGGCCTGTGGCCCGTGACTGGTTCCAGCGTCACGGTTAAACGAGGTGGGTTTGGTCAGCCGCGCTGCTGTGAAAGCCGGGCCCAGCGAAGGCCCAGGTGGGGAGCTGAACCTCTGTGTGCAGAGCCCCCAGGCGAGGGGCAGCGTTCGGCTCCCCCCCAGCTGAGGCCTCCCACCCCACACGTGGCTGGGAGCCTCCTTACCGTCTGCCCGCCAGGCTCCGTTGCCTCCCCTCCCAGCGCGGCGTGGTCCTCGCTCACGGCTGCTCCTCCTGTCCCGGCCGCGGCTTGCTTTGCCACGCTGGGAATGCTTCTGCTCTCCCGTTTTGCCAAAGGACTGGTAGGTTTCGTGGACTCCGTGTTCTGGGCACTTCCATTCCATGGTGGCTTTTTGGAGGCAACTGCTGCGGCGTTGCTGTCTTTATCAGAGGTTTTTTCAGATTTACCCATCTGTGTCTTCAAGCTGGATTGGAGAGAGGAGGTCAGGTTCGTAACTGGCTTTTCCATGGTTTTGCTGGAATGTCTATTTGCTGTTCATGAACAGCATTATGGCTTTAACTTCTCAACAAGTATCTTCCCCTCCTACTGCAGCAGGAGCCCATGGAGATAAAGGAAAGCAGAAGCTTGCACAGAGCATGCTCTGTTGCACCAAGTTTTATTGCTCTGCATGCCACCGAGATGTTCTGAACCTGCCTCGTTCATGGTTTTCCTATGAACAGAAACTCCAGGACCTGTACAGTGCTTACCAGTACCCTGCAAGAATGACCAGATCACTCGCCATCTTAAGTCTGACTTGGCTGGAAAACATTAAGCTTCAATTTTTTTCCATCCTCTGAAAGCAGCCTGCCTCCCTCACCCGCCCCCGTCGCCCACCCCTACCTTTCCTGCTGCTGTGAAAAGCAGGGAGGCTGCTGGGAAGACGCCTCCTTTTCCACGTCGGACAAAGTGGCCAAAATAAAGCTGGCTTCCAGCATCGTATCTTCAACACTGAAAGCAATTGGTCTAAACACAAATAGTCAGAGACATAAATGGCACACGTAATTACAGACATCGCGGGAGGAAGCGCAGCTCGTGCCATTTATACATGAAGATTAACAAGTTACCAATCTAAATGCACCAACCAGCAAGTGCGATACAGTATTATACTTAGTCAAATGATAGTTTTAAATAAGTCACTGCTAAAACTAGATTTTAACCAGAAAAGGTACTGTTTCTTCAGGCTATTAAATAAAATCCTTGCATTAGACTGAGAGCCTGATGTGTCCAGGTAACATAGTGAGCCATGCTAATGAGCACCTGCATGAGATAATGCTGATGCCTGCGTTAAACGCTTTATGTGTAAGAACAAAGTACTTAACCCTGCATCTTTTGGTAGGAAATGCAAATCTATTGCATTGTTCCAGTTAAATATTCAAGTAACCCGCGGATGAAACCCAACTGCAGCATAACCACCGGGGTTCGGTCGGGTATGTTCCAAACCGTACTTTCCAGATACGTCAAAATGGATTGAGACAAGAGCGCTGGTAGCTTCCGAAAATGCTAGCAGTCCCTGAAAAGAAGGGGTGGGTGGTTAAGCACTGTTTTAAAAACAGAAGATCAATATTAGAATGTAATCCCAGCTGGTTTTTACTGGCAAAAAGAGGGTAGAAGGCCACTGCTTCTAGACCACACTTCTTGCCTTCCCCGCCTGGAGCTTTGCCAAGGAAGCTGCTGCGTGCGGAACTTCTGTGGTCACCACGCTTTCTCCAGTGCCACTATCGTGTGCCTGCCCAGCGCCAAAATCACATTTTTGTTGTTTTAAAAATGTTCCGCTTGCCTTTCAGAGGCTCCCGTGAGGGACTCGGCAGTGTCCTGAAGATCCTTCAGAACGCTTCCTCGGCCATTCTGCATTGGCCCAGTCAAGTCGGGCAAATGAATGGGAAATGTTTAATGTTCAAGACAAATTCTTACTTTACCCTCAGTTCTTTAAGGCAAAATGTCACTTCAGAATCTACTCCCACTTGAAAGTAGTCAAATTCTTCGGGGTTTAGTTGTATTTCGGTAAGCATGGTCTTTGAAAAATCTGTTTAAAATAACAAGAAAGCCAAGGACTCAAAGGAGTGAAGTTTGAACTCAACACAATTTAGGATTATAACCGTGAGGTTTTTACATCAGCATTGTTTGAACAAATAATTGTGTTTTTATAGTGACTGTCAGGAATAAATATTTATTTATCTAAATTTATTTAATAATTAAGTAAACCCCTCAATTTATTTACAGTATATCGCGTAGATTTAAATGGCTTTTAACAGAACCTATTTTACGTTCTGCCGTGTGATCTAACCTGACTGCTGCTGTTGTTTTTGCAACTCTGCTCTGTTGACAGGCATTCAGCACAAACGGTATTGCCGGCTGCTTATTGCTGCATTGATGGGAAGGCCAAAACGCAGCATGATTTTAAGAGATTAATCCTAATTACTGACTATCATCAGAGAAAACAAAGCTGGACTTGGGTTCTTTGTTTTAAATTATTATCTTTTTCCGGATACGTAAGTGGCAACAGGAACCAGGCTCTTCCGTTTCAGGTAATTCAGTTGTTGTTTGTTATCGTTAGATTAGGCCGTGGTTGTTATGAGGCGTGTGAAAAGAAAGTAAGAGGGTACTTCCATGATGCGTTAGGAGTCTCAGAGGCATTCAGAAAAATTTTACAGCAGCTTAAACAGTACAGACCTACCCAGTTCTCTTCCAAAGCCAGGCTGCTGACAAAGTATCGCACGCTGTGCCCAGTCCTCCGTTTCTCTGCTTCAAGAGGGTTTTGGTTTTTTTAATCTCAGCCTTCAGGGAGGCCCCATTGCGTGTTCAAATATAATCTCGTAAAGTTTCTTAAAACTGTAGAAGTACCCACGTACCAACACGCCTGCCAGCTTCTGCAAGGCAGAGCCTACCGCGTGCCGATGAAAACAAGCCGAGGCAGACGGTGTAATTTCTTTCTTTGAAAATTAAAGTACACGTGGGAAACCCCAAGCCATGGCCAGACAATATGTTCAAAGGAGCCACTTTGTCTCAGTGCATAGAGAACATTTGCTGCAGGCAGTGTATTGCATCACACGCCACACAACAAGAACAATGCTTGTAATTCCTCCTTTTTCTCCTTGACTGCTCAGGTTTTTGGTCTCGTTAAATTTTTACCTACCGGTCTTTTCACTTTCTTTCTTACGATAACCCTCTTATGTTTCTAACGTTAAGAAAATCTGTCATTCCAAATGTAATATTTTTATTTTCAGCCATTCCTTTCCTGTTCCACTCCAGTCAGTTCCCACCACTTAATCCTTCTCGCTCCCCACTCCTTTAGTCTGTTCTGGGCACAATCCCCTCCCCTACGCTCTAGGCAGTCAACTTTTTCTAGGTCATTATCCTCAGCTTTGGTCATAAGCAAGTATGAAAAGCATCCTTTTATTATACGATATACAAGAACCTACACTTCAAAAACACAATTATATCTTTAAAATTAGCTTGAGTCACACCCCAAGACTCTAGATTGTTCTCCATCTCGGACGGAGATCTGAAAACAGCAGTGACAGTGTTTGGCCAGCTAACATGCTGTATTGCCCTGATACTAAAATATACTCCATAATGATATCAATTCTGTAATTACGGTATTCAGATTTAAATAGTTCTTCTTAAAACATAAAATTATCTCCTTTTTCCTGTCTGTTGCCGTGCTTCTGCTCTTGCAGCACAGTAATTACCTCTGTTCAAGCCTACAGCAAGTGGCATAATTTATTTCAATTGGCTGCTCAGTCTGATTATCTGCCACTGATACCAGGAAAATGTTATTAAAACCAGACTTTCTTAAAAGATATTAAAAACAGAGGCTGGCAGTATGACTTAAAAATCTCCCTATGTGCCCCTCTTTTAAAAATCTCATTCAGCCATAAAATGCATTCTCTGTTTAGGTTGCAATAGTTATTATTCCCTACTCCACCTGTTTTAAAGTCCCAATATTGTTTCATATTTTGAATTTCCTTACCAGTGTCTTCCTCGGTGTAACTCTTGAAACAAACCTTCATTGGAGTAACTGATAAGGTTACTTCTTCTTGACTGCTCGGAAAGTGGATCATTATATCAGCCAGCAGCCTATAAAATTTCATTCAACATTAAAATAATTCTGCCTGCCACAAATTACTAGCTAGCATTTGTTACTCACATTAGGAAATAAATTGTTACTTGGCCATACTGTTGGAAAAACTGCCATTGAAATGCGCACCCCTGAAGCGTGTTGTGTCTTTCTAATTGATTTGTAGAGCAGTAAGTACACAAGAAATCTAAAAATACAGCTAGTAATTACGAAAGCAAATTTGTTTATATTTAATGCCTGCGTATGCTGCCAAATCAGTCTCACATATATTGCTGCTGCCTTTCTGGATGTAAATATCACCATTTTGAGCAAACCTCAGTGTCCTATACTCTAAAGCTTGCAGTTTTAAAAGTTCTGTAATCTTTTTATAAACACAGTACATAGTATCTGTATCTTTCCACACCTTTAGTGCTTTAAGGGTTGATTGTTGTGACAGCTCCTATGCACAAGAAACACTCCTAATAGAAACGCTGTCGGGAAAAGCCCAGTCTAACTCTTCCTTGCCTTTGCTTGCAATAACAAAGCCAAATCTTGGATTCTTCCGGGGGCTGCTTTTCAAAGCAGAACTTTACCTCATTGCATTAAAAAAAAAATGTACTTTTGCCACTGGATTCTTTGCCTATAAAATGAAAGCACTACTTTATTGGTCAGAGGTGGAAGCTGCTCAAAGGTGGGAATTCAAATTACACACTTCTCGAGGTTCGACTGCGTAGGATTAATGGCAGAATGATCCAAATTTCTTAAGCTGTATTGTGAAAAATCAAGCACTAGGATACAGGATTTAGGAATTCACCATTTTTGCCTGTGCCCTAATCAGATTTTCATTATGTTAATGGCTACGAGAGCAGTATTGCCTCTGGTGTGATTTTTTTTTTTTTTTTCAGAAAGGATATTTTTGTATTCATTACCTGGAGTGGACTTTAAGTATGTTTGGACACATGTGCTTGGCAAAAACAGCCTGCAATGGCTCACATTCTTGAGACATCAGATTATATGTCTTTACAACACCTAGGTACAAAGGATATGAACAAAACTCAGTGCTGGTCTGGAATTTTAAATGGTTTTTTCAGTATTATTTGTTCTTTTAGGAAATCTCAATAGAGAAAGCAACCGAGTGACTTGACTTCAGCTATGTGGAAATAACTTGCCCACAAATAGAAAGCTGAATTAACCTGCCACCTAAGACTTCCTTCATCTTATTAGTTATGCCCCTCCAGCACCTGAGCTTTTTAAGAATCCACAAGAATTAAGTAAACAGCAACAAGCACAACAAATGCAGGGGAAAAAAAGGCTTAAATGTTTGACTGGTATAATAATATAAGCGGCGGTGGAATACAAGAAGCAAACCCTGCAGATCTCTGTGTAGTTCTAGGTAAGCACGAGCTAAGTGAGCTTAACTGTCTTGCGACCTAATTCAATATATTATCTCATTATTAGTAATACAAGCTAGATTTTTACTAATATAAACCACTGCCTATTACACAGCACAGCTCAGCAAGCTATGTCGACAGATGATGGTTCTTCACCAGTTCTGCAAAGACTAATGCTGATGAATATACCCAGTGTTCTGCTGGACTGGGGATGTCAGACCTGTTACCGTGTTGAAGAACTGGAAGTATTAGAACTGGAAAACCCCAGTAAATCCTCTGTTTCAAACACCTGCCAAACCAGGACTTCCCTCCCTTTCCATAACGTCTGTTACTCCAGTCTAGTTCTAAATTGTAAGCAGTAGGCTGACAATTAATAAGTAGCATGCGTTAACTACTGAACTGAAGAATGTTCATCTGATAAAAGCTGTTATACCTTCACTTTTACAAGGCGATGCCCATGATAAATACAAATTACGATGTGAAGAGGCTGAAAGTGTTTGGCATAATGTTCCATCAGCAACATTCAGTTAATAATTACACCAAATACTGCGTGGCCCTCCTGTTTTAAACTGCTTCTGTTTCTGTAAAGTTGCTTTATGTGCAACCTACCGTGTTTGCAGAGGAGCCGAAAAGTTATGTGATGATCATTCATATTTGTATAAATGCTGCATTTCTCTACATGCCTTTCCAGCACATTTACACATCTAAATATGGGAAGAACTGACTGTAAAAAAGTAAAAAAAAAGAAGCGGTGCAGGGGTTACTCACCAAGCAATTTTGCAGTATTATTTCCCTAGTTTCATACGGTTTATCTCAAGCTCCTGCTTTTATGGCCTCCTCATACTGCTTTGTAAGCAGACACTGAGGCAGCCGATACCGATCGTTGCCACCCTCACCCACTATTCCAATACGTGGCCAGCAGATCTGTTTGCTAAACAACTGGTCAAAGCTCTCCTGCCTGTTACTGGTTTTGAAGGCTAAGGGAGAAACGCTCCAGAGGCAGAAATGTGGTATTCCTTCACCCCAGGATTAAGCTGGTTCAGACTTCGGGAACCACAGGGCACAGCTCAGGAGGCACAACTTCTAAATGTAATTAAATACCAATTCTCTCTTTTGCAGAATCGCTCAGAAGCGCTTAAGTTTAGAGCCACCTACACGCCTCTATGAGCTTCCGCCTGTAATTTCATTTGGAAATTGGGCTAATGTGCTGCTTATGAAGCTGCGCGTAACAATCCATTAAAATGTACCTTAATTATCAATTTACATGGGAGGGATAACTGTTTCTTCTTCTGACATGGTTGAGACACAGCTGTCCAGCAGTAATGTTGAAAAAACATAGATGAGAAGAAGACATACGCATATGCTGACCTTGAAGAATTCACCGACCTTAAGGCAAGCTGAAAATATATGTAAAGTAATTTCTTAACTCAAAATATTGCATATCAAACCCTTAACAAAAAAGCCATCTCTGTGCCTCAGCACTATACCTAAGCCACAAAACCTTTACAACTGTACATCTCAAAATAAGTATAGATGCATCCTGCATACAATCATGCTCAAACTTATCACCTTCGTTCTTACTGGTCAGACGCCACTGGCGTAACGCAGGCATAGGAATCCAAGCTGCGGACACTTAAGTGGCCCTGAAGTGTGAGTTACTCAAGCACTTAAAGCTCAGCTTGTGTTTGAGGCATTTGAAGGACTGGAGTTTATTCTAAAACAATCTTCCTCTACCCCCATCCACACAACATGTACAAATGAGCAAAGACGCTACTAGCACCTCAAAAATTCTTCAGGCATAACAAGAAATTATCTCCACTTCTGATCTTCCAGCCTCCCAGCAAGTTAAGGAGAGTTGATTGACTTTAACTAAGAAACCTCTAGAGAAAACTAATTCTGCTGGAAATGGCATTTGATTAATCAGAGGCATATTAATGGATGCATTCTTCCTGTTGAGTCATACTGGTACAAACCCATGTTGTTTAGAGGCAGCTTCTGATGTGGTAAAAAACATAAAGCTTTTGACCCGTGACAACAGAAATAACCCCCTTGGTATTAATCCGGATGTCCTGGACACGATTCAGCCTGGGTAACAAAAAATTGAAGAATACTAGGGGCAGAGTAGGAATGAATCTTCCATGGTGTAATCTGCATAATTACAATTACAAAAAATATGGCATTTGTCCATGTTGAAAGTAAAGGAAGCTGAGAGAAAACATACCTCAGGCTGAAGGGTAGTACCTGTAGGAAAACAACACAGTATCCAACAACATAAATACGATTTTTAAATTACAATAAATCAAATTCACTTACACCTTTTTCTATGGGGTCAAACCAAAATTCATCACTAATACGTGCCATGGCATGTATTGCTCTTCCAAACACTAGCAGGAAAAGAAAACAGTTCAATATGCATTCTAAGTTAAAAAGTTATACAGGGTTTTCTCCAGAATAATTCAAGAGGAAACATTACAAATTTCCTACACGTTTCAAAGAACACTGATGACGTGGTAGAAAACATTGCTCTTTACTTTTTAGTTGCACAAACACCCTGATGTTTTCGAAAGGTGCCTCTGATGAGGCACGCCTCAAATGTCACCTGTCCCTTTGCAACAACTGGCGTGGCCTGATGTCACCACGAATTAATTCAATCTAATGGGACAAAACACCACTGAAGTTAGAAATTATGTTTTGTAGATGGCAACGAGTTTGAGCAAGTGGTAAGCCACTGGACATTTGTAAAGATGTAACCCTAAAAAACACAGAAGAAACTGGCAGTGGGTCTCAGAAATTGCCTCTGCCCACCCTGGCACTGGCAGAGCAGCGTTTTGCACGAAATGCCATGCATGGGAGGTTTAGTTGGGCCTCTGGAAGTAGAAGCACAGGGAGGCACCCAGGTAAGCAATGGCTACTCCACCTGAAAGTACTACAAATCCAGCCCAGGTGGCCAAGAGCGCCAACAGCACCCTGGCTTGTATCAGGAGTGCTGTGGCCAGCAGGAGCAGGGCAGGGACCGTGCCCCTGTGCTGGGCACTAGGGAGGCCACCCCTCGAATGCTGGGGTTAGGGTTGGGCCCCTCACTACCAGAAGGACCTGGAGGGGCTGGAGCATGTCCAGAGAAGGGCAGCGGAGCTGGGGAGGGGTCTGGAGCCCCAGGGTGCTGGGGGGG